ACCTGCGAGGCCTCTGGCTCCTGCTGCTGTCCTTGTTCCTGCTCCTCTTTGAGGAGGCCAGAGCTGGCCGTCCCTTGGTAAGCTGTCCAGCCGCCTGCCTGTGTGCCAGCAACATCCTCAGCTGCTCCAAGCAGCAGCTGCCCAACGTGCCCCACTCCTTGCCCAGCTACACGGCGCTCCTGGACCTCAGCCACAACAACCTGAGCCGCCTGCGGGCCGAGTGGACCCCCACGCGCCTGACCCACCTGCACTCCCTGCTGCTGAGCCACAACCAGCTGAACTTCATCTCCTCTGAGGCCTTTTCCCCAGTACCCAACCTGCGCTACCTGGACCTCTCCTCCAACCAGCTGCGTACTCTGGACGAGTTCCTGTTCAGTGAACTGCAGGCGCTGGAGGTGCTGCTGCTCTACAATAACCACATTATGGCAGTTGACCGCTGCGCCTTCGACGACGTGGTCCAGCTGCAGAAACTCTACTTGAGCCAGAACCAGATCTCCCGCTTCCCTCTGGAACTGGTCAAGGAAGGAGCCAAGCTACCCAAACTAACGCTCCTGGACCTCTCCTCCAACAAGCTAAAGAACTTACCATTGCCCGACCTGCAGAAGCTGCCCGCCTGGATCAAGAATGGGCTGTACCTGCACAACAACCCGCTACACTGCGACTGTGAGCTCTACCAGCTCTTTTCCCACTGGCAGTACCGGCAGCTGAGCTCCGTGATGGACTTTCAGGAGGACCTGTACTGCATGAGCTCCAAGAAGCTGCACAATGTCTTCAGTCTGAGTTTCCTCAATTGCAGCGAGTACAAGGAACGTGCCTGGGAGGCCCACCTGGGTGACACCTTGACCATCAAGTGTGACACCAAGCAGCAGGGGATGACCAAGGTGTGGGTGACACCAAGCAATGAACGGGTGCTAGATGAGGTGGCCAACAGCACAGTGACGGTGTCCAAGGATGGCAGTCTTCATTTCCGGCGGGTGCAGGTCGAGGATGGGGGTGTGTATACCTGCTATGCCGTGGGGGAGGCTTTCAATGAGACACTGTCTGTGGAGTTGAAAGTATACAATTTCACCTTGCACGGACACCATGACACCCTCAACACAGCCTATACCACCCTCGTGGGCTGTATCCTCAGTGTGGTCCTGGTCCTCATATACCTGTACCTCACCCCTTGCCGCTGCTGGTGCCGGGGTGTCGAGAAGCCTTCCAGCCATCAAGGAGACAGCCTCAGCTCTTCCATGCTTAGTACCACACCCAACCACGATCCTATGGCTGGTGGGGACAAGGATGATGGTTTTGACCAGCGGGTGGCCTTCCTGGAACCTGCTGGACCCGGACAGGGTCAGAACGGCAAGCTCAAGCCAGGCAACACCCTGCCGGTGCCTGAGGCGACAGGCAAGGGCCAGCGGAGGATGTCAGATCCAGAATCAGTCAGCTCGGTCTTCTCTGATACGCCCATTGTGGTGTGAGCAGGATGGGTTGGTGGGGAGATTCTGCCCCAGGAGAGGTAATGCACCCCTGAAGGATATGAGGGGATGGAAGAGAGGGCTAGCTGCCCAAGGGAGTGGGCTCCCCCCGAACTCAAGGGAATTGGTCACGGTTACAACAACAGGCAAGACCCCAAGCAGGGTGTGGCTGCCATGATTTTCAAATATGGATATGCTAATTCTCAGGCAAATGCTACACCCCTACCCAGAGCCCTGACAGTTCTCAATGTGGTGGAAGCAGAGGAGTGTATCTGAGCTGGTGGGAATGAGGAATGGGTGGGAGGAAGAGCTGATTCCTTAAACTTTTTTGAGGTCATCCGTAGCTCCTTAAGAGAAAATTATTTGGAAAAAAAAATCATTTTTTCCTATCTCTGCCCACCCACACCTGCGATGTGTGTGTGCTGGCGGGAGCTTCCACGGCAGCCATGTTGGGGAAAAGCTATATTATCCTTGACCAGGAAGTCACACTTCACAGCTGGGGAAATAGGAAACCTTTGGAAAAATGTGTCAGGAAAAGGCTGAGGCCTTAATCAGTAACACTCCCCAAAGCCGTTGTAAGACTTCCCACTAATGCCTTCCTCTTTCTGGATGAGCCCTGGGTGGATGGGTCTTTGCAGGAGCCTGGCCTGTTGCCTGTCAGATATGGCAACAATGTGAGACGTGGTATCTGTGCCTTGTCCTGGGACCAGTGGTACAGAGGGGTACAACATGAATCGAGGGGTCCATGTCACAGCATAGGTGCCAGCACAGAACTTGGAGATGGGGGATAAACTCCAGATTGGCTAATTCTCTGGTTGGTGAAACCCTTGGTTAGCATTTGATTCCCAGCACCTGTGTGTGGCACCAGGGTGGAGGGTGCTGAAAGCAGAGCTTCTATGGATGCCTGCCACAGACGTGGGATGGGGGCCTCTTTGCACTAGGAGGAGGAGGGTAAATCAGCCTCTATTATGTAGCATCCAGCTGGACCTACCTGATTTTTTTGTGTATGCCATCTCTTCATTCAGTCTCCTGGTCAAGTTCAGGTGGGATTCTGAGTGTTCCCTAATATGCTGCACTGCAAAGGAAGGAGTCCGGGAAAGTCTGGCGCCAGCTGGGTTAGATTGGGCTCGGGGATGGAGGGGGCCGGGTATGTATCTCTTCTGTGTTGACAAAGCCGCTTTGCTCCTCTCTTAGAGATCTCAGCCCTGCTGCAAGGCCAAAGCATGGGATCTCATCATCCGAGGAGATGGAATTGAGTGGTCTCTGCCACAGAAGAATTGGCAATTTGGAGTGTGGCTAAGTTTTGCCCTCTCCACAAGGTTCCAGGCAGTCTTGTAACAGTGCCACTAAACTTTCAAAAGGAGACCCTGTCAGCCAGAGGTCTGACAGCAGTTGTGGTTGTCAGGCCCAAGGAACTTAAGAACAGGCCCAACGTTCCATTCCATCCCAGTTGCAGGATACTTTGGGTATAGAGACAACTCCCTTTGACTCTACTGCAAGCCCTGGGAGTTGGTTGCTCTGAGCTTTGGCAAGGGGACGGGCAGGGCCAAGGTGAAAATGTTCTCTGACGTTGGTCTTTTCAGTCTCTCCCCTCTCTCCCACCAAGTCTCCTTCCCTCGGAAGTTCTCCAGATCTTCTAGTTTTCTGATCTCTCTTTAGGTTCCAAGAAGTGTCATTTTACCTGCAGGTGAAAGCTGCTTGCTAGGAGGGCCTAACTCCCGCTGCCTATTAAGATTCGGGGAGGGGACTGGAACTCAACGTCTGCTTCTTGTCTGTTCCTGGGATGTCAAGACTGCTGTCCATCCTTTATTAGTAACCTAGTTTTGTCAAGAGAGGTGCAGCATTTCCCTCCAGTACTTGCATGCTCATAGGGATGCATGCTTATAGGTCTGCATGCACCCCAGCACCTTGACTTCCATTGGGACAGTGAGTCTTCAGTCCCCACTAACGTCCACTTCCAGAGTGGTTCCCACCCATGTGCACAACTTCATGCACACAATTTTCTTGCCCTGTAGGAGAGACAGTGACCATGCCAGGCTCCACAAATACAGACTTTTGTACTTTAGATTTCTGAACTGCCTGAAGCTTCACCCACGTCTCCACGACACTGAATAACTTCTCAGCAAAGCCTGGAGTTAGAACTACAGGTTGAAGATCTTGAGAGAAGGGGTGATGAGGAGCTAGCTGGCTCTTCAGACCCCTCAGAAACCTTCCTTGGATTAAAGATGATATATGTGAGAAATAAATGTAGAACTGGGTCAGTGACGGACCCAGAACACTGGCAGGGGACCAGGGAGCTGTAAGTTGCTCTTCCTGTGTTAACTGCCCTGGTAAGACAGGGGCAGGAGGAAGAAGTTGTCTGGTTATATTCCAGAGACTCCTGAAGAGTCTGGTACTGAAGCTATAGGAACCAGGACTCCCTCCTCAGACTTACCGGGGAATCGGGGAAAAATCTCACCTCCATACTGCAGCTTCCCCTCTAGGCACCATCTAGGGCTCTGAAAATCTTTAAAGTGAATGTCAAATGAAGTGGGTCTTCTGGGGCCTTCTAGCTGAGTTCCTGAGGACTAGGAGGGCCGTTTGCTTCATAAATCCTACCCAGTTTAGGGCATAGTATCAATAAAAGGCCCTGAGGATCTAAGTCTCCCCACTGTATCCACTAGGTTGGCCAGTACCTACCAGTTTGAGAGACTGGTAGACGTGCCTGGCTGCCCCACCAAGAGACTGAACTGATGAGCCTCTTCCCATGGTTTCAGTCGATAGAACCCAAAGGTAGCTTTCTACCTGGGGGATCGGGTACTCAGCGTATGTAAGCTCACTAGAACCCCGTGTAGGAAACTGCCAGCTCTGGTTATAAGAAAAGGTCGAGCCATCACCCCAACTCCCATAAACCAGACGTGTCTCCCAGGAAGCAGGTGTCCCTGGAGACAGTATGACAGGGCTGTACAATCTGTCTGTGTGATTATCTGTGATTTTTTTTCTTTGCCTGTATTTATGAGGCTCCTAGGAAGGAGCCAGGAGCAGGTATACCCCAGCTGGGGAGAGTAAAGCCAACTGATTCCAGTTTTCCGTGTGTCCTTACCTTTGTACTTCCTTGTGGCGCTGCTGGCGGAGCAAGCAGGCCTCCCCATGTCCAGGATCCTAGTCTTCCCACTTATGTACTCTCAGGCTGGCAAACCTTGGAGCCTCTGGGCTCTGAAAACTAGACAATGGTCATTAAACCTGGCTTGAGTCTCTGTTCTGGCATAGTCTGTGACTGGTTTATTTATCTTTTCAGCCTGTGGCTGGGGTTCACTGGACCTCAGAAGGGTGTGGCCTGTCTAGGGGGAGAAGAGTTAAATGCTGTTATAAGGGCGTATGGGTTGAATCCACATCTAGGCATTAAGATGGACCAGGGGTCAGCCAACCTTTTCTGTAAACAGCCAGACAGGAAACGTATTCAGCTTTGCAGCCCACATAGTCTCTGTTACAACTACTCAGCTGTACCGTTGTGGCAGGAAGGTAGCCACAGACAGCACACAAATGAATGACTGTGGCTCTGTTCCAGTAAAACTTTATTTATGGACATTAAAATGCGATTTCCATATCATTGTAACATGTATTTGAGGTTTTTTAACCATTTAAAAATGCACAAACTCTTACTAGCTCACAGACCATACAAAACCAGGCAGCAGGTTGGTTTTGGCCAGCAGACCATAGTTTGCCAACCTGGCAGATATTCTCAAAAGAAATGTCACTGACGCTTTAGCAAGAGAGAGTTTAGAAATTCCATGACTTGGGGCTAGAGCCTGTAAATAAAGAAGGCTTTCTGGATCCCTGGGGAGGAGGGTTGTCTCCCTGAAGAGTTCTCTTAAAAGTCTGGATCAAGCCTGCAAACTACCGTGGAAAAATGCTTGGACTGGGTTAAAAGAAATGATGGAGAGCAGCTCGGTTTCACAGTATTTTGATTATTACCGGTATATGTTCACGTCGTGAATGGTAACCATCTTAGTTTGGCTTAAAGTATATTAATCTAATAGGAAGGTTATTATTCACTGACGGTGTAATATGTCCTAGGCATTGCCCAGAACACAGAAATGCGGTCCCCACTTTCTTGGTACAGAAGACAGCTTACCCGAAATTGGACTGGATTCTACTAAACTCCTCTGAACATGCAGTTTCTTTGGCTACTCTCTTGGTACTTCTGGAAGGGGACTGTCTTGGTAGATTCCACAAGGGAAGAGGAAACGATATAAGGAAAAGAGAAACTAAAAGAATCAGAATTTGGGGAATTCCCTGGCGGTCCAGTGGTTAGGACTCCACGCTTCCGCTACAGGGGGCACGGGTTCAATCCCTGCTTGAGGAACTAAGATCCCGCAAGTCATGCAGTGCAGCCAAAAAAATAAAAGAATCAGAATTTGAAAAATTACCTAATTCCTTACATTGATAAAATCTTGACCAAAGGACAGTCCTCCTCTGTCTGGAAAGCTGTCTTTTTCTCTTCATGAGGAACAAGTAAAGTGGTGAGGGGTGGAGACACCTCACAGCCAGCCACATCAGACCAATCAACCTTGGCAGTCAATGAAATGACAGATGTTGATGCCACAGCACCCCCAGAGTCTACATTTATATAGTATTTTTCAATCTTTCCAAAGCAGTTTTTGCTATGGCTGAGTTTAGCCAAGAGGGTGAGCTGATAAAGAGAACAGATCTGGGGAAGACTACTGAGAGTTCTCCCCTGTATTTTGGCCTGTGCCAAGCCCTGTCTCTGTGCCTGAAACGTTTTGATACTCTTTTCTCCATCATCCCAAGGAATCCGTGGCTGCATCTCTGCAACCCTCCCCTTCTCCCCGCTTCCCCAACCCCCCAGGGAGTTCCATAGGTTCTGGCCAAGATGTGCAGTTTTGTCTGCCATGTCTTGCAGCTCTTCCCCTAGCTCCTCTTAGGTGGCACTGCAGGAGAATGGATGAGGTTAATATGATGGTTACCTTTTAGAACAGAAAATGAGAGTTCAGTGGATTGCCCAGCCTAGTCTCTCTTCCATCTGATCTCTCAAACTCCTTCCCTTTCCGCAGTTGTAGCTCTTGTACCCCTTATCCTGTCTCCCGGGCAACCGCTGGTGAAGCTTCCCTTTTCCCACCCACACTGCAGAAGAGTCTCAGGCCCATGCAGCAGTATGGTTAGCTCTTCTGGTCTGGCTACAGTGAGCCTATGCTGGATGCTTCCTCTCCCCAGGCTTGAGAGAGGAGAGCTAAAGCAGCTGCCATGTCAAGCCCTTTCATCAGGCTTATATACTGTTGTGTGGAAAACATGAAGTGTTTTCCTGCCCTGAGGCCTTCCAGTCGACATAGGCTTTGTTACAGTCCCACAGCCACAGAGGGCATGGAGAGAACCAACCTTTAGGACATGAGGCCCTGCAGGAACTTCTAGGTGCCCTACAGCACTGACACACATAAGGTGAGAGTCACTGACCCCAAAGTTGGGGGGTGTGTATGCATGTGCACGCCCATACAAACATGCACACAGGTTGGGGAGCACTGCAGCTGGATAGAACTTTGTGCTGCTTTTCCTTCACCTCCCACTGCTCCTTCACTTGGCCGTAGTTTGCTTTAGGCGTGGACCTAAGCAGAAAGGCCGAGCCCAGTCTTGGGCATCCTTAGAAAGCACTGTGAGGTAAGTGGGAATCTGCTTTAAAGAGAGGGGTGCTGGGGGCCTCTCATGTATACTCAATGAGACAAAGTTGAATCCTCTGGTACCAGAGACTAGCCTGAAGTAGCCGCTTAATCTGCTTTTAAGAGAGGTTTAAAAAATCTGGGAAATTCTAATAGCAGGTAGATTAAAAACTGGAACTTATTCCCTGCACATTGGTAACTTAGTCAAGCCTTCTGGGTGGGTGGGTGGGGGGGTGGGTAGGGAGAAGGTGGTCTTACTGGAGGGAATGGAGGGAATCTGTCTGCTTTAAGCTTAGCCCAGTGCTGGAGACTGTCTACATCAAACCACCCTCCAGGGCAGTTCTGGGGCACGATCCTCCTGCCTTTCAGCTGTGTCTTCTCTGTGCCTACGCTTTGCTGAGGCCATGACTGCAATGCGTGACTAATGTTTCATTCCTGGATCCCAGGATAGAGAAAAATAAAATAAAACCCACCAAGATTAAAAAACAAATACTGAAGCCTCTGCGCTCCTGGGGTGCCTGCCTCTCTGTGTCCACTCCAGGCAGACCGCTGGCTGTTCTCGGACCAAAGGAATGGAAAGTATCCTCCTAATTTAAACGTAACTGCTTTCATGGCGTGTGCATGTGTGTGTGCATGTGCGTGTGTGTTTTAATTCCAATAAAGTCCTTTGAGGAGGAAGGGGCTGTGATCCTACTCCAAGAGCCTGAAACAAGGAAGGAGAGACAAACCCGTGAACAAGCCAGGGGTTGTGTCTCACAGCTCCCCACCTCCACCCTGTGCCTGGGTGAGGGCCTGAGGCAGCCTGTGGCTATGGGGGAAACCAGAGGGTTGGTGTGGCAGTGTTGTGTCCATTGCTGTTGCTCCTCCCTTCCTGGATTGTCTGCTCCGCCTTTCCCTCAGAAGAGCAGAATTAGGTAGGAGAAATTTAGATAGACTTGTGACCAGGAGCTCCAGACAAAGACCAGCTCCAGGAGCTTCAGGCTGGACCTGGGGGATAACTGACTCCCAGATTTGCAATCAGCCCTGTGACTTGAAAGCACTAGCTGGCAGCACTCAGGGCAAGCTTCACTAGAGTCATAGCCTTGGTTGCATTCCTGACCTTGCATCTAGGAGGAAATGTCTGTGTTCTCCAGTGATGGCCAGCAACACAACCTCTCAGAGACTTGGGTCCTCTAAGCATCATTATCCATAACTCTTTATTGCCTCCCTAAAAGCATAAAACCCAGAGCCAGGCTGAGTGAAAGAGAGATAAGGACAAGCACGTAATACCACCTGTTTACATCTGTTTAATGCTTTGAACTTCCCAATGCCTGTTAACATAGCATTCTGTCATCTAGCGCTCACAACATCCCTGTGAGATAGGTCAAGCAGTAAGTGATTTGCCTGTGGCCACACCAGTGTTAGGAGCTGGGTAAACCCAGACTGCAGGTTTCCTAGCTCCCCGGTCGATTCACTTTTCACTTCATGATATGTAGGCTCTTTATGCCAACCAGACGCAGGGGCAGTGGGAGCACTGAACCAGACGCCTCCCTGCTCCCTAAGCCTGCAGAGGGCCACCAGAAATGCTGAGGGAGTCAGGGGTGTCCCCTGGAGGCCAAGACAGGTCAACAGAAGGAAGGGCAGGAGTACTAGACGTTCAAGGTCAACAGCCACCACTACCAGTGTCAGTGGAGCATGTCCTACGTTCCCTACATCTTGACCTTTGTCAGGTGAAAAGGCCTTATTAGTTTACTCAGAGGATGCTCAGGACCCGCTCCCAGAGGAAGGATAAGGCTTGGCTAGGAGGTGAGACTCCTGACCCCTCCTCCCTCTGCAGCCCAAGAAGACGGGGAAGGTGAGGGCTGGCTGACTCAGCCTGCAAGTGCTTAGAGATCTGGAGCTGAAAGGCCCCAGCACTGTTCAGCTAATGATTATTGTTAACTCTGAACGGGCCTTGGCATAGCAGCCAGCTGGCTCAGGAAGAATGCCTGGATCTCCCACGGTGAGGTTTTAAAAACAAGACCCATAGCAGCCATGCCCAGGGGTGGAAGGGTGGGGACGATGAGAAGGAAGGGACAGGCCAGTGTCGGAGTGGGGAGAGGTCGTCTGCGCTGTGAGAGGGTGCGGACAGAGGAGGCACAGGCTGGCTAGAGATAGCAGCCTACCTTCGATGCAGCTGAAAAGCCAAGAAGGTGAGCCTGGGAGACTTCCCCAGACAGAGCTCCTGCCATTCAACACCACCCCGCAGCCAGGGGCAGGGCGGAGGGAAGTGTTGGGGTGGGAAAGCGGTGGCTATGGGAAAGATGGGGGCTTCGGGGTGGTATGTGAACCCAGAATGCCGATCCTATTACCATTTGGATTTAGATACAAAAAGCATCTATATTTCTAATGTCCTCAAGGCTGAGTTTGAATGTAATCATATTCGGAATCAGGACTTAGTGAGCTTGATATGCAAATTTGTGCAAATGACACAGAATTTAAAAAGACTTGAACACCCTGGCTTTTTTTATAAAAGGCAAAACAGGCTGGCTACTAGCAGCTTTCCCTAGTTAGGGGACAAGGGCAAAAGGGCAGCCATTTGCTTCTCCCCCAAGGCCTCTGCCTCACTCCTGAGGAACCCAGATAACACCCCAGATGGGGAGATACAGGGAGGTGGGGGGATAGGGGGTGTAGGGAGGAGGAAACACACAAGCAAAAGGCATATGCAGCCGTCAGCCCCCGAGATCCCAGCTGGAGGAAGAGTGCCCTGGCACTGAGGTCTAATGGTTGTCCAGCTGCTGCCCCAGGATGTGAGGGCAGGTGGTGATGGAAGGAGAAAGGAGGGGAGCGGAGGGAAGTCCCCCTGCAATCTGGCCAGCTGGGAAGAAGGGCTCCTCCTGGCGACCTCCTCCCTATACTGCAATCAGACTGGCTAAGCAGGAGACCACCCGTCCCCCCCTCTCTGCCCTGTGCCTCTGCCCCCCCTCCCTGAGGCCTACCGGTCAGAGAAGTGACAGCTGGGACCCCTTCCTTCTGCGGAACATAAATGACTTCCCCCTTCCTCCCAGGGCTGGGAATAGACATCAGCTGGCACTGCCCACGCAAACTGCCGGCTGTCAGCCAGCCTGCCCGCTCACCAGCCCCCGCACCACCTGGGAGAAGGCAACACCTCAGGCAGGCTCAGGCTTTATGGTGTTGCCTGCTCGGCTCCCAGAGCAAGCTGGTGAACCCACCCACCCTTCCTACCCTGCTATAGACAGAGTAAGACTCCCAGCAGTGACTGTGGTGGGCAAGGGGAGATGGGCTCCCTGATCAAAGCGACCCTCGGTGAGAATCTCCTCGACGCAGCCCCAGCAACCATCTCTCCCAAGTTCAGAACACACTGAGGAGTTGGAGAGGGGAGAGAGGGCAATGAAAAAGACAGGAACAATCACCCTCTGCATAGCAGGGGTCCCCCTTGAGATGCTCAGGGTCTGGAGAGCTCCTAGGAGATGAAACCTGACCTGGGAGGATCCTAGCAAGGTCCGCTCAGAGGACCCCTCTGTCCCTGCAGTTCTCACTCCTGTACGATTGAATCATACCAACCTCCCCGCTTCTGAGCCACCCAGAGAGGAGGTCTTGAATCTTCTAAAGACCTGAGATATCCAAAATATTGCTATCTAGGAACACCTACCCCTGCTCCCAGGACCTGGAGCTCCAGGCCCTACACCCCAGGCCTCCCAGAGTTCCCACTGAGCTCTCTCTACCAGCCTTAGCACCAATTTCCTGGCTCAGCCATTTTCAGTATTTGCCATGGTCTACGGAGATCCCAGCTCCCCGACTGAGCCAGACGACAGTTAACCAATCTAGCATCCAGCCCTTATCACGGAGGGCAGTCTGGGGAACTACTGATACTTTCAGTTTGGAACAAGGAGAGGGGTCTCTGCAGGGAAGAGAGCCCAGCCCTCATTTGCCAGCTGGCACCAAATTCAGCCCCCTCCTGGGCCAAAGAGCTGGCAAGAGATGACACTTGAGGAAAGCTTAGCTGACGAGGGGAGAAGGGGAACCACAGACACTTTGTTTCCTCTTAGATCAGAAGAGCCCTGCCCCATTTCCTTGACTCTTATTTTGTTCTAACAGCTTCGGAAGAG